TGCTGTAAACAAATGCAAAGTAAAGAGATTTCAATGATTTCTGAGTTTTAAAACTTTTACAAATTCGAGTGAGGAAGCCCAACATTTTATTACATTTACTTATTATATAATCGTAATGTTTGTTGAAATTCATTTTGGAATCTAAAATAAGCCCTAGATCTTTGATTTCCTCCACTCTCTTCAAAATAGTACCTGACATATTATAACTGAATTCAAAGTTCTTGACGTTTTTTGTGAATGAGATAATGAAACATTTATTTATGTTTAAGAATAGTCTATTCTTTTCGCAATATTGTGAGAACCTCAGAAGATCAGAATTTAGTTTTGCACAGTCCTCACGAGACTCAATTTTAGAATATATTTTTAGATCGTCTGCGTAAAGTAAGAATTTAGAATTTACGAAACACTTTTTCACGTCATTAATGAAGATCAGGAATAGCAGAGGACCTAAGTGTGAGCCTTGTGGCACTCCTGAGGTCACTGTGAAAGCTTTAGCCTGATAACCATTAATGTTCACAATTTGGGTTCTGTTAAAAACGTACGAAGAAAACCATCGTAAGAGATCGCCATGTACACCAACTTCAGAAAGTTTAAGCATCAATATGTTATGATCGATTTTATCGAAAGCCTTACTGAAGTCGGTGTAGATAGAATCTACCTGAACTCGCTCATCCATCTGATTACAAATATATTGAGTGTACGTTACTAAGTTTGTTTCAATTGCACGGTTTGCGAAAAATCCATGTTGTTCTTCGATAATTGCACCTTTCAATCGGTTGAACATTATATCGTACACCAGACTTTCAAAAACTTTTCCCATAATGCAGAGTTTGCTTATACCTCGATAATTCGTAACTTGTTCCCGATCTCCAGAGTTTTTGAAAATCGGAATGAGAAATGCAGTTTTCCATAAAGTTGGAAAATGACCTTCCTTTAGTGATAAGTTAAACAATTTATTCAACGGAACATATAAGCTATTAGCGCATTTCTTCATGAATAGTGCTGGAATACCATCCGTGCCACTTCCCTTTTTTCCATCGAGATCATTAAGTTTTTTTAAGACTTCTTCTTCGTTTAGGGTGAAATTATCGAGTGTGAGATTGCTTTCGCTCATGTCGGGGTTGATAAGAAGTTTTATATAGACATTTTGCAAAAATTACTGGTACGAAATGTTTTGTGAAGACTGAGAAGGGATGATAAAAATATAAGTGCAAAATAGGTTACATCAGCTCTGACTCATTTCCTGAAATTTAACATATCATGTGAGTTTTTATCAGCAGCCAAAGAATTGAACACAATCCCAATCTAGAACTGGATCTGCTCATAGTGCTCATCTTGATACAGGTAGTTTCCAAAAGGAAGAAAAGCAAATATTTCAGAAAAAAACGGCTAAAAATAATGATTGCATTTTTCTTCTCTCCAGAATGAAAGCGGCCATCACAAAATGATGAAGTTGTTAATTATTCTCACAATTGTCTGAAATTAATAATAATCTGTGTATGATTGATTCTGGATCTATGAAGCTGTTTACGACTCTCAAATGCATCAACAAATTGATATTTGATAATCATCATTGGGTATTCCAGTCCAGATCTGCTATTTTTTCTTTTTCGTTTATTTTTCGGTAACCCCAACTCTGACGTGTTTTTTGACATCTGTCATCTATTCAAATAATATAATTAGTTGGTTCATTTGTGTTGCTGAACTTATTGAAGTTGAGTTTTTCTTCAGATATCTCTGTTGATAGCAAAATGTAGAGTCCCTGTATATACCTTAGACAAGAGTCCGGACACAACTATGGTTCTATCCTTTTCTGTTTTCAAAAAATGCATTGATGATTGAATAAAGGAATAAGACATATATATCGAGCTCTGTCCTTTCAATTCCCCTAGTATCAATGATTGTCAGAAACAATTTTGAGGGTTAGATTATTTGTCAAACCGTTCATAGCCGTAGGTAGAAGTGAGAAATAGGGCTATTTTAACTAGGATAACTATAAGATTTTCAAATAATGAACAACAGGGTGTTTAAATTTCGAATCGATAATTTTCGTAATAAATTCCTGAGATGGCTATTGCAAATTTTCGTCATCAGATATTTCTTTCCTTCATTAGATATAAGATAGATAATTCAAGTGTTCTACGTGGTATCACATATAGCCAAGAAAATATAGTTGTTTTCTGTTGGGATATACAAAAATAGAAGATATATAATTCTTTCAATATAATTTTAATTGTGTCGGATTCCCACCTCTTCCTGCAGTCTACATTCACCAGTAAATTTTTTAATTTGATCTGAATTAAAAACAACGTGGACTGATGACATAGCACATTGCAATTTCCCCCTAAATCTTCTAGTTTTGATTTCCAACTTTCAATTTCTCTCCGCATCATCTCATTCTCATTTTTTTTCTCTGCGATCGTATCATTCAGTAATTCCCAATACGATGACGACGGAACTCTTTTTGAAGAGATTGACGGCACAGCAGAAACTTTCAATTTGAAATCCATCAGCTTGAAAGAATCTCTATCAAAATGGGCCTAAAATGCATCTTTTTTGTACTGTTTTTACAAGTGAATTCGAATATTTACCTCACATATTGCGGATTTCTTGAAATTAATTTTCCATTCTGGACGTTTCATTGCATTCTTCCATGACATTATCTTTAAAGGATCATTCAGAAAATTGAATAACTCGAATCCCTTTTCTTATGAATTATCGCAATAATGTACGCAGCAGGACATTGAAATAATTCGATATGCAAAATTTTGGCGGTCATAAAATTTCAAAGTGACAGTGAATTCGAAATAATTAAAATAAGTGGGCGAGACGACTATGGTGTTTCGTCACATTGTCAGGTGGGCAAACCAAATGAAACAAAATATTAAAAACCCCAACGGCTGTCAGTTTTGTGTCCGGACTCTTGTCTAAAGTATATACAGGGACTCTAGCAAAATGTAAACAGAGAAAGTCATAAATAAATTAGCTGACTATTATGTTTTGCCCTCATGTGACGTCATCAGAAAGAATTCCAAGGATTCAAGATGGTGGTTCCTCCGTAACCCTGTCAGTATAATACAGGATGAGTCATAACTATTGGGACATAGGCTAAGGACGAATTGTTTGGACCTAAATATGGCGATAGGACCAAATATGCCTTATTAAAATATTGCTGTGGAATAAGATACAGGGCGTTTCAATCGAAGAAGTATTGACTATAAATTCGCACCAAAATTTATTCACTGACAAGAAATGGTATTTACCAGCAACAATTATCTTACACTCCAAAGCAGATACATCAATATCACGTAGAATAGTTATTTTTGTATCTAGAGCGCGAAATGCTACTTTGGTGATCGAGATCTGATTTTTTCCACGGGGCGTAGCCGAGTTGAAAAAATAGTCGAGATGACCAAAGTATTTCGCGCTCGAGTTGCAAACAACATTTTTTCTACAAACCTGAAAAAATATTGTTCTAAAGTGGAGATATGCTCAGCTTGATATAAAAAATAGTGTTGAACAGGCTTTAATGACCTCCCCCGATCCTCCCCATGTACGCACGAAGTTCCACGAACATAATAGGAATTTCCTTTCGTGCGCTCCAAGAGATAAAACGAAGTTATTTATTGAACATTCAGTAATAAATGATTTCGTGGATGTTTGCTCGATTGTGGACCATTAAGTTGAAATATAAGTATCTCATATATTTTACATAACAGTGCGCGAAGTAGGTACTTCGCGCACTGTTTTACTTCGCGCATTGTTTTGTGCAAGGTATCATTGTAACGTAGGAAACTGAAAAAAACTGTCATTTCGCAATTTGTTATCAATGCGCGAACCTTGTCATTTTTTGACGTTTGTAGAAAAAAGATGTTTATGTCATATTTTCTAATCAAAATTACTAGAGTTTCGTCCAAAAAGAAGTTACCAGTCGATTTCATCATCAGCAATCATTCACGTGGCGTCCTCTGTAACAAACTGTACAATAATACATAAAATAATATTCCCTGTAAAAAAGTGCCGATTTTGATAACAATTAATAAATATACAGTGAAATTATTCGCAAAAAACGAAAAAAACTTTAAACGCCTATCGCCATATTTTGGTCTAATTAATCCGCTCTTAGCCTATGACCCAATATCTTTGACTCACCCTGTATATATCAGAACCCTGGGAGTGGGGAAAATAACACAATTACATTTTTCAAAATAATGGATGTGTCCATCACTGTCCAACCGAAAAACAGTATTTGGACGACGTTTTCCCTGGAAAGGTATATCGGTATAGGTTGACCATTGGCTTGGCCTCCTAGATCTATGGACTTAACACCTCTTGATTTTCTTCGTCGTAAGGTGGATCAGAAAATTGATTTGTACCGAAGGAATTCGAAAATGAGAACATTAATTGCGAAAAGTAAAACACACTCTAGTGTTGAGAAATTTTGAAATAGTAGTTTACTTAACAAGTGCAGGAAGTGATACCTTTCCGCACATGGTAGGTACACAATTTTTCTACTAGCGTGTGGAAATTACCCATATCCTTTTTCTCCGTACTCATTTGAGAGAGTAGAAAGTTCTTTTCGCACTAGTGCGAAGAAGTGACCCTTTCAACACTAAAATGAGTGCGGAAAAGATGAAACCATACTTAACCAGCACATTTTTTGTGTTATTAGGGTGCTAATATGAGGATGTGGCATTTTTCATCAAAACATGAGATTAATGCAAAACCGTGAGATTTTCAACAGAGGTATGTGTAGCTAAATGCAGCTCAGATGAGGTCTCCTCTCGCCATCATAACACTTTGCCCACCTTTGCAAAACGTCCCGTTGGTTGTGAATTGTCATTTATCTTGATTTCCCAGAATGAGGAAATAAAAATGTTTTTTTATTTAGTAAATACAGAATAAAACATTAATTGCGTCCAAGTTTTCAGCAATCTACTGTCTACTGATTGACGGCAGTTTAGTCAGAGCGTAAAATAATTTTGCTACTTTTTCAACAGCCGGTAGACAAACAACCAATGAAGAGTTAGAAGAGATGTTAGAACAAGGCAACCCTGCAGTGTTCACGCAAGGAGTAAGTATAGTTTTCATTTTTTTGTTATTCTATTATATAATTCATACCACATCAAAATTCATTCACATTTTTCAGATCCTGCCTTAATATAAGCATATACAGGGTGTTAACAAATAAGTGTCACAACAGAAAACTGTAGATTCCTCATGAAAAAAGAAACATTTATTTCCCTTTCGAAATTTTTCTCCGGGCTTCCGTTTTCCAGATACAGGGCGTCCAAATAATACAAAAAAATCTGTTTTTTGCTACTATCTTAGGAACCGTTAGAGCCACGGAGTTTAGCTTTCGTACACACTTCATCATCAATAATGACTACTTTTAGGGCTCTTGCTCACTTTCCTTGGTCATGTCAGCGGAGGAGAATTCAACGCCTTGTAAGGGTTTAACCCCCCAAACATTTATGCCACTGGAGAAATTGTAATTTTCAAAGTACATTCTGAAGAGCCAATATCTTTCAAACAAAAAACGTCCTCTTGTCTCAATGCTCTAAAGTGAATAGTTTCTGCGAAAAATGGCTCTTTATGAATAAGAACATACAAAATCCTAATGGTATCTCCAAAAAATCGTCTAAAAACCCACTGGAAATAAACACCTCAGAACTGTCTAAGAATATGTTCAATCAAATGTCAAGTTCTTGAGTATGCTGGTCTGGATGCTGGTTTTCAAATAGTCAAGTTTATTAGGTGTTGTAAAGCGTGTTGAATTAAACTGAACATTTTTTATTTTTTTACGCCCTGTATCTTGAAAACGGAAGCCTGGAGGAAAATTTTGAAGAGGAAAGAAATGATTCTTTTATTATGAGGAATCTACAGTTTTCCGTTGTGACACTTATTTGTTAACACCCTGTCTAAGTGTTGAATGATTCAAATATGTTTCACGATCATATCACCTTTCACACACCCCTTCATCACTGATTTTCTGTGACAGAAAAAAGGAGGAATCAATATTGAAAAGATATTACATTATTTTGAAATCTGAAAATTATCGACGTGAAATTTTAAGTTTTTAACAGTAGGGACACCGCGTTGTAGGCATCTTTATAATTCATTTGAAGTAATCAAATATCTGATGTCACTTCTGTCAGTCTGATTTTGTGATTTGATTTCAAAAAATTGCGAATTCAGTGGTTGTTTAGTAATATACGTTACCACGAAGTCGAATGGAATATGAAAGGACTTGCAATTCTTTCTCGGAGACGGTATTATAGACTCATTTTTCGGAATTATAGCACAACAAAAGCCATCAACAGTGTACATACAGGGTGTCCCTAGACCAGTGGGACAGTTGAATATCTCCTGAACCAATAGGAATTTTCGAAATATTATAATTCCACATCATATCGCATTATGAGTGCTAACTTCAGGAATGACTATATTTTCTACGAGGGGCACAAGAAAGGCTCACAAAATCGAACATCAATTATTTCAAATGGAACACCCTGTATTCCATTGCATTTTCATAATCTCCTTGAAGAGCTGAATTCAACGACCTAGCACACATGTCACATGTCCATATCTTAACTTTTGATTTACTATTCACTCGTATTTAATTTCAACAAATACAGGGTGGTGTGGAATTCCGACTGAAACTGAGAATTCTACACCACCCTGTATTTGTTTAATTTAAATACGAGTGAATAGTAAATCAAAAGTTAAGATATGGACATGTGACCCATTTTGACCAATAATGAATAGTTTTGACACAAAAAATTCCCAAAAATGAAAAATCTCGATTTTCCACACCCTATATCTTGGAAATCATTCCCGTTAGACCCCAAGTGTGGTAGGTCGTTGAATTCAGCTCTTCAAGGAGAATATGAAAATGCAATGAAATACAGGGTGTTCCATTAGAAAAAATTGATGTTCGCTTTTGTGAGCCTTCCTTGCTCCCCTCGTATAAAATATAGTCATTCCTGAAGATAGCACTCATGATGCGATATGATGTGGAATTATAATATTTTGAAAATTCCTATTGGTGCAGAAGATATTTAACTGTCCCACTGGTCTAGGGACACCCTGTATATATATGTGATATAAATCCGGGAAAAAAGTACTCATTTTTTTCCCACGGGAAAAAAATAATTTATGGAAAGTGACATTTTATAACCTGCCAAGAGAGATGAAATGGCAAACTTTTTTCGCGTCACAGAAAAAATTTCTTTTGTCGTTTATGACATCGAGTCATGTTTCTTGGTGTTCGGAATAATCATTAATACACCAAGGTAGTAAAGAATACCATTATCACCCAGGGACCAAGATTAAATCCGGAGGCTCCAGCCATAGATTACCAGCCAAGGGCTATAACTTCCCGTGGTATAATATCCTTTACTACCAAGGTGTACCACTAGCAATATATTTCAATCATTATAGTTCTGTGAAACTGAAATATGGATCTATTGTCACTATGAAAGCACTTCTTTCCGAATTCCACTTAAAATCTAGTTACCATGACCATGAAATCATATGACGAAGTAGTTTTTTTATCTCTTGGAGCGTACGGAAGGAAATTCCTATAATGTTCGAAGAACATAGTGCACACCTAGGGAAGAGATTTTTTTTTAATTTTCAGAGGTTACAAGTTCTTGGGAGTTCCAAAGTAAGAGAAAAATAAAGAGAAATGTCAGGCAAACACTTCTTCTTTTTGAACTGTCGTTGTTGATCTAGGAAAGTGGCGTAGCTAGAAATAACTGCGTCAGGTGGCAAAACTATCGGCTGGCTACTGAAAAAATAATACAGCATTGCCTTGAACGTATACTATTATCTTTATATTATAGCAACATGAAATATATAACGTGGGTAACACAATTAAATAAGTTGCTATAAACGTAATTTGAAAATTCATAAATTTAATGAAACACTGGAAATGCTTCCTTCGATTTTCAATTGAAGCAAACCGATCGATTATATGATTTTGTGAAAATTAATTTTATATATTCAGTATGGCTTGTCTGGCGCATAGTACTCCCCAAATAGTTTTATATAAGCTTCAGTGATGCAACTAATAACAAATCAGTGCACATATTGGGACAATTTGAGACAGCGGTTTGATGTTTACCAAAAATACATCAATCACTAAACTCGCTCTAAATGCAGAGCGAAAGTTCAGTATTTTCCATGCATGCACATTTTTCTGTTAAATTAACAGCGTATTTCTCTTGCAGTATATTAGCGCTTGAGAACTTCCGATCACATTAGACACTATATTTTGAATACTTCAATTGGAAAGAGGTGATGTCAAAAATACTGTTAAACGTATTTTATTTGTTTTCTTCTGTTATTTTGCACTCAATACATCGGAAAAGAATATTTGCATCTTTAATTCTCTTTTCTACGAAAGTTGTGACAATTCGCCAAGTTTCTGACAGATCTAAAGCCTCTGATTTAATTCCATCATAACTCTTACGAAGCTCGAAAATATATGAATGAGCATTGTTAAATGGAGTATATACTTCGGAAATATTAGTTATTTTACTTCGAAGTACTTTAGGAACATGACTTGAGCAATTAAGTATACAGGAAAAGATTTAAGACTTTCAAGTTTTCCCATTTTTTCTCTAGTCCAGTTGTTTCAGAATTCATCATTATCCATACTTTTTAAAATAATTTTTCTACTCACACAACTAAAATGGCATTTAGCGTACGGATATGTACCACGCTATAAACGATCGATTAATCACGGATTGTCGATCTGTGATTTATTCAAAATATTAAACACGTTACCATGGCAACACGATTTCTCGAACACATTACCATGGCAACACAGTTCATTAAACACAGCTTCAGTAAGTTGAGGCATGTCTGGCCCTGTCAATAGTATTAACTGTCAACTGTTATTTTCAAATTTTGTATCAGAATTCTTCATTAAAAATATATGCGAAATGTAGACGAAAGTGAAATCGAAGAGAATGTTCTGGTACTTGCATATCTCCAAAAAGTATAAAATTGAAGCATCCATCTTTGAGAACAATTTATTTATTCTGCGCTAAGCATGACAATAAACGTGAAAAAAGGTTATGAAGCAATGGACTAGACACATCTACAACCAATATCACTTATACGTGTCTCGCTGGTTGCATGTATTATGTTCTCAATTTCCATTCCTTTCGAATTATTTTGTAGGTTAGCAGGAATAGCAGGTATGTTAATGTAATTTTCGGAGTTCGTAGAAAAAGCATAGTATGTAACGCGTTTATAAACTCTTCTAGACACTCGTTTATTAAACACTCGCTCCGCTCTGCTCCGCTCGTGCTTAAAATACTCGTTACTAAAAGGATGTTTATGACACTTGTTACATAATATACTATTATGTTAGCAACTTTATAACATTTATGAAATTGAATCTCAAAGATTCTAGTACATCGTTCGTTGATGACCATCTTATTATCTAGCATTAATGAACAAACTAAAAAAGAACAAATTGACCACCCACGCCCACCCGCTATCTACGCTACTGCAATAAGAAGCAAAACACAGATTTCTTACAAAAAACATTGCAAGCTGGTCAGTCACAGTGTAAAATAGCCTGAAGCCTGAATATTATTATTGACGGAAATATAATTTGCAAAAATCCATTGCAAGCAATAAAATATTAGAAACTGTAAACCTCTAGAGTCTGTAAAAATAAAACAAACAGCAAAATAAATATTACATTCTAAAATGGTACCTAGTTTGAAAACATCACAAGAATGAGTATATTACCCCCTCCCTTAGAGATTCACCTTGAGGCCACCCTTGCCTTAAGAGCCAGAAATCTATAACAAACAAACAATGTGGCTAGAACAATTATTATAGGGCTGAAATAAAATCCGACAACGGACGACCCGGAAATGTTCCCGTCTCGTTTGTCAATCGATTAATGTGCCTTCAATTTTCAGATAATAATGGAAACGCAACAAGCGAAACAGACATTAGCCGATATCGAAGCCAGGCATGCCGATATCATCAAATTAGAGAATTCAATTAGAGAATTGCATGACATGTTCATGGACATGGCGATGCTGGTGGAAAATCAGGTAATTTGTCCATTAGCTTTTTCACAGCCCGTTTGATTTTAGGCCAATGCGTAAGTTTAGATCATGTTCAACTGGTGGAATGTTGAGTAGGTATATCCTCTGAACTTTGGCGTTGAATGGAATATTTCCGAGTGGGACAATTTAAAATTCAAACGTCCTGGATTAAAATGTTTCTATACAGTGTGTCCCACTTACCATGCTCACCATGGGTATCTTTTTAACGGTGAGAGATACGAGGTCGGTTGAATGACACCAAATGTGGAGTTTGTCAAGGCCAACTTTAATGTGAAGAAATATTTTGATAAAATCTATTCGTTTTTGTTTTATACGCAAAAAACAGATTTTGATCATTTTCATGTCTCCTCCGTAACTTCTTTATTTATGAAAATATTCAAATAGGAATTTCTCATTCTCATGGCAGTTTTTCAAAGTGATTTCGAAAAAAATATGAAATTTATACCTACTCTTCTAGTATTTGAGATAGCAGCACCAACTTTAGTTTTTCAAATGTAGGTCATAGTTCACTATGACTTAGTTACAAATAACTTTTTTTCTCTTACAGATGATGTGTCGCAGTAATAGTTTTGTGTTGATAACAACGGAGTTATCGTCATTTATAAAAAAACAAAAAATTATTTGGAAGCCGCCATCTTGAATTTATAAATTTTAACAAAAAAATTATGATCTCTGAACTCAAAAACCCCCTCTTACCAATTTTGAATGGAATCGGACCAAATCTTGTCCGCCATCTTGGAGCAGCCATTTTTTTGAATTTCAACAAAAATTCCATAATGAATTGTCACCGAAATTATGAACACCTGCCAAATTTCAAGTTAATCGAAGTTATGGAATTTTTGCTGAAATTAAAAAAAATGGATGCACCAAGATGGCGGACAAGATTTCGTCCGATTACATTCAAAATTGTTAAGTGGGGGTTTTTGAGGTCGGAGATCATGATTTTTTTGTTAAAATTTATGAATTCAAGATGGCGGCATCCAAATCATTTTTTGTTTTTGTATAAATGACGATAACTCCGTTGTTATCAACACAAAACTATTACTGCGACATATCATCTGTAAGAGAAAAAAAAGTTATTTGTTACTAAGTCATAGTGAGCTATGCCCTACATTTGAAAAACTAAAGTTGGTGCTGATATCTCAAATTCTAGAAGAGTTGGTATAAATTTCATATTCTTTTCGAAATCATTTTGAAAAACTGCCATGAGAATGTGAGATTCCTATTTGAATATTTTCATAAATAAAGAAGTTACGGAGGAGACATGAAAATGATCAAAATCTGTTTTTTGCGTATAAAACAAAAACGAATAGATTTTATCAAAATATTTTTTCACATTATAGTTGGCCTTGACAAACTCCACATTTGGTGTCATTTAACCGACCTCGTATCTCTCACCGTTAAAAAGATACCCATGGTGAGCATGGTAAGTGGGAAACACTGTATACCACGATATTAAATGCCAATAATTGTTAGATTGTCAAAATGTGCTATTCGCTATTCAAAATATTCAGGTTTGGTAGCCTATTTTGTAATCCATAAATAACACAATGTAAATATTGACAGAACAAACCGTAACGAATTGAACATGATCTAAGCGCGATTTCAACATATTTGATGTCAAATGTCAAGCTCATTCTGTTGTTCTATTTCCTCGATTTATCTGTCAATTACGCTTATCAATATGCAATATTTTTATTTAAATATACTGTAGAAGTCCATGTTATCTCAAAGTGTAAAGTAATTTATACAGGCTGATTTTAAAATGAGTGCATATATTCAAGACATATATATGAGAGAGTCTAACAAAAATTACTAAAATATTTGATTTTTCCTAAGTCTTCACATTAACGAGAAATTTCATTTTGAAAATTGAACATAAAATGCTTCGAAATTCGAGTACGCCACTGGGAAGCAAGTGAAATCTGCGGAATCCCAGGGAATCCCCAATTCGTCATTCACTAACGTCAAAACAAGACAGTGATGCCAGATTGTTTCAGAGATAAAATTTGTCACAGAATGAATATGAATTGGAATAGGTTATGGAAACTAATAGAGGTGAATGTAATATGTACAGGAGCCTTATTTTTTGAAGTTTACTGAGAGAACTGTGGGGTGATTATCTCCATGGATCACGAGAGACGGAGAGAAACATGAGGGGAATGATAGAACGTCCCCCTTCCTTCAATTCGAAAATAAGGCCCCAGCGGGTAGATACAAAATTAGCAGACAATAAATAGGTACACAACATACACAAAGTTGAAAATCGACTCACCTAGTAGATTTTCTCATACCTGCTCGAACAGCAAAACTCCCGAGAGCAAACAAATACTAATATCGAGTCCATTCCAGACTAATATCGTCCTGTGTTCTTGTTGGTTCATAATCGCACTTAAACCATCGAAAACGACTCGACGACGACATATCCTTCCTGGCAATCTCACATTGAAAATCACGAACACGACCATATCACGATTATCACGACACAAGACACAACATCCAATTATTTTATTTTTTATTTTACGTTTACAATTATTTTACAAACCAGCAACCACACAAACAAAACTATTATCATATGATCTGTCAACATCATTTCTCAGAACAGTAGTATCTGTGACCATAGATTTCCTCTTTGCTGTGACCTTTGACAGTACTAACTAGGATTGTTCGCGTTCAGAAAATAAACAATCCGAAACCGTCAGAAGCATGCACAAGTCCACAGAACCCAAAAAAATCATAAAGTTCTGTGAAACTGCGCATGCTTCTGACCGTTTCGGACGCAAGAATTCAGATGACCATGAATTACTAATAGGTGATTTCCGAGGTGATTTCTAAGGATCAATCAGAAACAGCAAAGTAGCGCCTGCGTGGTTGTGATTCATCCTGATTGGACACAGCTGATTTCATTTGTGAGATTAGTGCATATAGTGAGGAAGGATCATTTCATTGAATTGAACTAATATACATTTTTTTCCAAATTATTTATTATGAAAATTATAGTTTCATTCAAAGAGATGATCCTTCCTTACTATAATACAGTAATCTCAATCAGCTGTGCCCAATCAGGATGAATCGCAACCACGCAGGCACTACTTTGCTGTTTCTGATTGGTCCGTAAAAGTCGCCTATTAGTAATTCATGGTCATCTGAATTCTTGCTGGTAGCACACCATAAGAACAATCAAAACAAAGATCCTTTCTTGACAGTTTGTTGTTCTGAGAATGTATGTTATTTTGGAAAACGTCAAAACGTGATACTAGTAAATGTAAAGTTTTGTTTCTGACAATTTGCTTGAAATGTGACGACGCATTTCTCAAACATTGACCTGAATGATATGGTTCTTATGTCGGGTCGTTATTGTGCGGGGCCCATGAGACTCCTCGAAGGACACGAAATTGTAGCGATGCAAGGAGGTGAAAGGAAGGGTCTAAAGGATTTTTCAGTAAAAGAACTTCCAACCGTGAGGTGTTAAGTTATACGCTATTCGAGCTTATGTGTAGAAATCTTGGGTGAGTCCATTTTAAAGTTTTTGTATTATCTTTCTGAAATTCAAGACCAGGGTTAACTTCTTCCCCATGTACATTTTCTCGGTTATACATTTTATTTAATATCTCCTAATTTTCATGTAGAGTGGCAACGTCGCTTCGTTCATCATGGTCGACTGCGGATCGCGAACGATAGTTGTGACAGAGGTAGAAATCTGGGCGGAAAAAGGGTATTTTGCCCCAAATCTATTTTGATCCTAATAATATTTTTAATAGTGCTATTCGGTAGTATACCTCAAGCTTTCTTAGTGTTTAAAATATATGCACTTATTTTAAAATCAGCCTGTATTTGATGAAAAGATGGTTCTTCTTGACTATCGAAAGGATTCCAATAAAAATACATTTTACAAAAAATGAAGAAAAGTTATGATAACCAAACCCATTAGGTTGTTTCTACAATATGGTGCCATTGCCTATAGTAATTGCAGAATTCCTTATAGAACTCGCAACTTTGTTGCAGCGCAAATTGAATCACTTTTTATTTTCATTGCATCTTCTCTAAAATTGAATCTCATAATGTCACCACATCGGAAACATAATAATAGAATTATTGATCATTCATGAACTGCAAGGTAAAATTCGAATTCGAAAACTATTTGTCAATAAACATGCAACGGTAGATTTTCTTTCGTATAATTGACAGATATGTGTGGAAATTGATATATTGACACTCGACATATGAGAACAAACAGATTATCGGTCGTCTGTGTGGTATCAACAACTCTAATAGCCCTTCCGTCCCGTTTCATGTGTGTGAAATAGATAGGTCTTCTGTTGATGTCTTCCATTTATATTCCACAGATGATTATACAACGTGATTTATTTCAATATGATGGAAAAAAATTGCATAGCAGTCTTTCAATCGAAGATAATTAATAATGTTTGTTTGCATTGAACCCCAGGAAAATACATTATGTCGTGTTTACTGCCTTCCCCCTATGTACTTCCAAAATGTTCCAAGGTTGCCATAGGGTTTGAATAAATTAAACAGTTTTTCCACTACACTATGTGTTTATCCACCACCGTGCAAGAGAGATGTTGATGGGTTATATAACGACATCAGGCTGACTTGATTTGTATAGGGTTGATCGACAGGAGTAAAACAAAAAGATTCTAAATGCACTTTAATTCAAATTTGATAAAAAATTTATAAAATACATCATAAAATACACCTTTCGATCGAACTGTTATCAAAACTCGAACCAGTTGCCTATTCACTTCAAACTCAGGGTACCCAAAATCTCCAATAGTCACTCACAAGTCTTTTTCGGAAACCTACTCGGGTTGACACATTTTGTTTTCAACTTTATTTTGGTTTCATTGTTTGTGTTGTTGGAGTTGAATAATTATCATGAATAGAAAAAAAATTGTAGTCTTCAAAACTTTCGAGTTTGTTTCTTTTTCTCCTTTTGAAAAATACTGGACGGACCACTTTGAGAA